TTAGTTTCTGTTCGATGGACTTTGCCATTGCTGAGTGAATGTGTGTGAAAGGGTGAATGTGGCACGTAGTGTAAAAAAGCGCTTTGAGTGGTCGGAAGTACAACTATACAAGTACAGGTCCATATACCATTTAATGCAAGAACAGACTGAATTCAAACAAGGTGTCAGGCAGTGTGGGAGACAGTAACTCACTTTGGCTTTTGTCCCTTTTCAGTCCCTTTTATATGCACAAAAAAATCTATATAACGCAATAAAGCATAGGAAATAACCCAAAAGCATAATATGGCTTTTTTAAACATTTCATAACAGTGCTGACCTATCTTCTTTTGGGACAGGGTTTGGTTCCTTTATCCTGATGACATTGCTGTGTAAGCTCTGGCACATTGTTTTACATATTCTGCAATGAAATGAGTTGGGGAAGCACAGAAGAATGACTAAAGCCAGATCTGTATTTGTTTGTTTGTTCTTGATTTCTCTTGGCACTGTACACAACCGGTGTAAATAAGTGATAGAACATGCACAGCACAGCACAGCACAGCAAAGTTAAATGACAACCCTGCATCTGTGAAGAACATGTCTAATTACTAAGACGACGTGATTCAAATTACAGCAAATTTATAATTAATTACTATAATAAATACAATTACAAAATAATCACCCATGTCAGCCAGGTTACAGAGGGCCAGCAGGCAGACGTTGACCAGGGGGTCGTTCTCTGGATACTCCCTTATTATGGACACCAGTCTGGGGATTACTCCACTCTGGACTAACTGGTCCTGTTGGTATGCTGAGGTCAGACAGAGAGAGTGGAAAGGGTAAAGTGGCACAGTGATGAGATATAGACACAGTATTTTATTATTTTGTTTGTTTTTAACTTTGTGTTTGGTGTGTTTGTTTGTGGAAAGGAAAATTCAAATTAAACCGAGCTATAATAAAAGGTAATTTTACATTTTAGGATTATAAGCCATACACAAAGTACCTATTTAAATCTGTCATCAGTGAACCCTACTGACTGAACCAACATTGTCAGACCAACTCACAGTTGTCGAAGCAGATGCGTCCGATAGCCCTGCCGGTGTTCAGCAGCATTTCCTGGTCATTGCTGTTCAGGTGGGGAACCAGCACCTTCACCAGGCCCACCTCAATGCACGGCTCCCTGACTGCAGCTATAACACCCACAATGATAAAATATTACCTCCTGAACTCAGTATGTCCCTTAAATGCCCCCTTTAAGGTCCAGTGTGTAACATTTAGGAGGATCTGTAATATAACATTCATACCTATGTCCATTAATGTGTAATCACCTGAATATAGGAATATGTAGAATAATTCTACAAAATATGAATTCCCCACTATACTGTGACACATTTTCATATACAGTCAGGACAGTTAGAGAAAGTCTGTCTATGTAAGGACGTCACACTGAATGCTAATTACATGACATTCACAGCTTTTACATTAATCTGAATGGCCAGGATAATTTATAATCTATTTAATTGTTATTAACAACATTTTACCCAAATCTTTTTTTTTTTTTTTTGATGAAGATGGATGCAAAACAAGGTAAAATCTCTTCCCTGCAAGTCAAGTTTGAACATTTTTATGAACTAATGGTTTTCTTTGTACCAGATTTTAGGGGGTGCTGCAGCCCCCTCAGCCCCCCTGCTTCCAACACCCATGTATACAGTATATATAGTGTTACAGTAAATATTCCATGCACTAGATCTGCTTGAACCAGTGTTTTATATATAAAAACCAGCAAAGAAGAAACTTTCATTTTTTCACTTTAATTACTCACAAAAGGCATATAATTTGTGAATATATTGATGAGACCGCATACAACTGTGTGTCAGTCAAACAATATTTAGGCAACATAAATGAGAAGTCCTTAAAGAGCCTGCTTTACAGCTCTATGACAACTGGCGAAACTCGCTTTGGGATCAGACGATATACAATATTATTGCATATGGCAATAAAAAACATTCAGATAGGTGTATTGTAGTGAATTTTTATTATCAAGATAATCGTGAATATTCTCATAAGTGAGGATATATATATTGTTGTTATTTATTGTAATATAATGTACATATTTAAAGTTCCTACTACTATTCCTATTTCTTACAATGTCTTTGTTTAGCAACCGCCATGCAACCAATTTCCCCCCAGCGATCAATAAAGTATTTCTAATCCAGTTACCATGGGAACCATCGAAGGCTCTAGATGGGCCACTAAATAGACCTTTTGTTGACAGTATTAGGGCAGTAAAGAGCTGTGGTGGTAAGAGAAAGCCCTAATGGCTACTGAACACATATCACACTGGTGTAGTACTCCTCTAAAATATTCAAATATTTTTCAAATGTTTCATATTATCAAAGAACATAACAAGTGTAGCAGTATCCTACCTTCTCGGGCCATCTCTGCCACCACCAAAGCCACCTGGCAGCTCAGGCTGCTTTTACCCCGTAAGGCCTGAGCCAGCGTGGGTAGAATCCCACTTTTGGCAACTTCAACAGCAGCATCTTTCTCTGTGGACACAGAATCCAAAACCTCAGAGGATATCCACAGCATATACAACAGATATGTGAAGCAGTTTTCAGTTTACACAGTAAAGCCTCCTAGTGGTTGCATTAAAAAATGTTTTTTTTGGTGGCCTCTGCACCTTTTCTCTACTGCCACAGTAGACAGTCTAACAGACCAATTGTGTCACCCCTTCCAGGTTAATGTAAAGTAAAGTTTTGATCAGGACCAAATATCAGGTAAATATCAAAATCAGGTGCGACCCAACCCAAGCCTGAAAATGTTCTGTGGGTTCTTATTAAAATAGATAGTAATAGTAATAGTGAATCGTTTATAATAAGCTAAAGGAAACTACATTGGGCATATAATACAGTACATATGATTATTTAAACAGATAAATAATACATTTGCTAATTACAGTCGCATGCATTATTGATAAAATATTAAATATATAATAAATATAATGAAAAATTGGGTCCCATCAGGGCCCGTTCGGGCAGAGAATCAAAGCTCTAATGTAAAGCATCCTTTAGACATGCACCTTGTTACATATACAACATATATGATGGCAATTTTACATCTTGGTCACATGTCTGAAAAAGTCTCAGTTTCTTTGAAGAATCAAGGTCAAGGTTAAGGTTACTTTATTTGTACCTATAGTTAGATTCGGTTTGCAGTAAAAGACAAGGCATTCCTCTCGGCAAAATTATAAAAACAACAAACAACTACAATACACAAGATGATACAAACATGATAAAGATAAAGATAAAAGATAAAGGGGCTCAAGTCTCTAAAAATCAGGACTTACAAAGAGAGAACAATAAAAAAACACTAGAATAAATAAGGAAGGTAAAAAATACACAAAGAAAGAACACAAGAAAAACTCTCTGCCACAACTTGTTGATCTGAATGACAGTTATTTTTATACTGCTTTGTTCTACATCTTGGGATTGTAAACCTCTGCCCAGAAGGAAGAAGCTGAAATTCACTGTGCAGAGGGTGGGAGTCATCATTTAAAATGAAACTGGTTATCTGCTGCAACTCTCTGCTACATGAGGACTCTGGGCAAGGGCGTTTCCAGACTTTCCAGACTAACTTATGCAGGGGTGGCATAAAGTATGTGTTTCAGCTTTCCAGTCCCAGTTCCATTCCCAATTTACACAATTCCAAGACTGTTTATGGAACACAGTATGCTACATGCAAAAAAAACTGCATGTTTTTTGCCTAAAATGGCATGGGATTAGCATAAAGTGGGCATGTGTGGAAAGAGGAGCCCTACCCATAGAGCCCAGTTTTTCATTCAGATATCTTGAGGTCAGAGGTCAAGGGATCCCATTGAAAATGGCCATGCTTTGAAAGTTTTTCCATCGCCAAAGTATAGCCTAAATTTGGAGCATTATTGAGCCCCCTTTCCAATATGCTAGCTACAACATGTTGGTGCCAATGGATGTGTTATGTCATCTAGTTTCATATGATACCAGTGTCTTCACTCTTTAAAAGTAACCTGCTACAGCTTCTGAAAGACAGTGGGAGTGGAAAAGCAAAGGATAATGGGGTGGCATTTGGGGTGGCCAATCAGATTTCAGGGGTAGCACCCCAGGCCCCTCTTCTGGAAATGCCCCTGATTCTGGGTTAAGCTGTGACTCACCAATAAGCCTACTACAAAATTTGATTGAGGGCGTTTCTGAACCATGACACCAAAGAAAAAGATTGATTCAATAAAAGCACGATAAAATAAGGTCATCATGGTGGAAATAACTAACATGTGCTGAGCTGTGTGAGGTGGTATTCTGTTTGATGACCATCTGGAACAGGATGATAGGCCGGAGTAAATGTATGGATGGGTGCAAGGTAGGTGTGTGTGTGCCGGTGCATTACTTACTCTTCTCCAACAGAGCAGCCAGCACTGTGTCCAAATGAGGCTTGAGCTCCTCCTCAATCAGCTCTGTGCTTACACTGATCGCCTTTAGAGCCTCACTCAGGGAGTCTGTAACACACACACACCACCAAAAACAAAAGTTAAAAACATGGCAGCTTCAGAAGTCTTCCTTATCCAAACTTAAAAAACCAAAAGTCACTTTCTCGGCTCCAACCCCAACCTATCTCACAACAGCAGAGATATGTGGGGAATAGAAAATTGGGCTATGCTGGCTGTTCCTAAGTCCAGGCTTGGGATCAAAAGGTACTGTGCTTTTGCAGTTAGAACTGCCCTCTTCTGGAACTGTCCAAGGGTCTGAGGCTTGCTGAATCAGTGACATCTTTTAAATCACTGTTTAAAACATATCTTAATAAAAAAGCCTTTTATTTATTCTACCATGTTTATATTCCATCATGTTTTATATATTATATAGCTCTACTTGCAAAGAAACATTCCTAACTGCAACCATGTTGGCCACCTACTTGCTTTATACCAGCACATCTGATATTTAATAATCAGTTAATACATACATCAATAATAGCCTAATTTTACACATGATCCACGATGATCAACATACAGAAAAATATAAATGTATGGTAAGAATAGCATATTGTATTTTAGTATCAGTATTAGTATTGTCAGAGACTTGGACACCACAATCCTTTAATCCATGGCG